CACCATATTGGATCGACCATTTTGAATTTTGCAATTCTGACTTTGGATTCATAATCAGCGACCCAAAAACTCCCGGGTATACTATTAAAACAAATATATCTGAAACAAAAGTTTGAGACACAAAGAATTAATTATGATTTTTTACAACTAAACGATACTGTAAAAAAATCTAAAAAATTCTGAAAAATACTTTAGGGTCTTTTGAATAAATACTTAAATCGGTGTTTTTTTATTGACAGTAGTTTAGTAGAAAATGCATTTTTTCCATAAAAAGAGCAAATTTTGAACATTTTTTTATTAATAGTAACTTTGCAAATGCAAATTTATGATCGTTCCTTTATGTTTTACACTTGTTGATGTTCTGAGGACACTATAGAAACAAATACACCTATACCTTTTATCAATAAATACGTTAAAATAATTAAAAACTAAACGGAAAAAAGTGAGACGTTGAGAGTCCCATCATGACGCAAAGGCTTAAAAAATAAGTTGCTGGAAAGAGTAAAAAAGTGAAGAATCACGCAAGTTCCATGTTTAACTATGGCTAAAAGTGGAAAAAAAAATATTATAGCAAACTGTTGGATCAAGTTTGTCTTTAAATATGGATATTGATAATCAACAAATAAATGTTAGTCAAAGTCAAAATCACGAACAACATGAGGAAAATATTCAGATAACGAAACTTAACATTAAATCAAAACATTCTGTGGCGTCTCAGAGAGCGAGACTCCACGCAAGGTGCATCGCTCCTATTTAAAGGGACGCTTTCGGAGCGCACCTTACACACCGTCCTTCCAGGAACCGCGAGGCTCGCGACGCGTTTCCGAGAAACGCGGCGGGAGAGCGATAAGCGCGAGCCCGCGATGAATTCGCGGAAGCACGGGACCTGCACGAATTCGGAGAATCGCGAGCCTCGCGATTTCCGAAGAGGGGCAACGGTAAACGCAAGTCCGCGACGAATTCGCGGAAGCACGGGACCTGCATAAAATTCGAAGAATCGCGAGCCTCGCGATTTTCGAAGAAATGTAAAGCTCACCGATAGTAAACATAATTAAAGAACGGGAGTATAAATAGCGGACGAAATCGCAGGAAGGGCAGACTCCGCTCTCGACCTCGCTTGAGGAAAGATCTCACGAGATTAATACACGAGTAGCCAAACCTCCTACGAGGAGAGATCTGCATAGACGACGAGAATCTCCTCCGGCACCCTGAAGCCCGCGGCGATACAGCCTCAAGACGAGGCTAACAACGTAGCTCGGCTACCTCTCAAAGAAAAATGCTGGGAGCTATTCGGCTCGGATAGCGAGGAGGAACTGCAGGTCTCCGCTCCGAGCTCTCCCTAATCGTCAGCGCCGGCGACACCGTCACCGACTCGGCCACCGAGGACCCATCACCACGGAAGAGATCCCGGAAGACGAGGCAGGTCGCTTCCACCCAGGAGACCGTATCGCGGCCGTTACCGGTGGGGGCCTCACCAGCGTCTCCAGCACGAGATCCTGGCGGATATCTAATAGAGCTGCTAAAGCCGTGGCGAATCCGCCCGCT